TGGGAAACTCTTGTACACCCTCGGGCAATCTCCTCCATGTATCATACTTGTGATTTAAATTGATTGCCTCTACTCGTCGATGTCTAAGATTCACGTATATCCACTTTGTCTCCATTGTGAAATGGAAAGAAAACAAGGGAAGGTTATAGAGAATTTGATATACATGAGGAGAAAAAAGTAAAATTTTAAGCAGTGCCAAATTTTAGCTGACAAAAAGCAAAATAAAGAAAATTGTAATTTGAGGCTGTTCTTGCTTATCTCAAAACCGAAGTGCAAATTTTATTTTCATTACTTTAAATTTTATATTATTTAACTTTCTCATTGCTTATGTTTCCTTATCTTTTCTTTTCTCACATTGACAACTAATTTCATGTCCTTTAAACCTGAATATACTAAGACATTGGCTCCCACATTCAGTTAATTTGTCAAATCGTAAGAGCTAAACTTTTTACTAGTTTTTCAACAATTAAATATTAATTAATATTGGTTTGAGGCAGAAAAATGCATTTCAGAGCAAAGTTTTTTTTTTTTATCTAGAAAAAGTTTCTAGAATAGTACTGTAGTACTCTTTTGAAATTTGATGTATATAACATAAAGGTTATGGATTTTAATACCTCTGTCCCCTCTCTACTTCGTAAATCTCACCTCTTCCTTACTAGAATTTTTTTAAAAATTTTTTTTGATGCATATGAATGAAAATGGTAATTATAAAAAATTAAAAAATGTGTTTATCATACAACCAAAAAAGTTAATTTTTTTTAAAAAATTTTTACTATCCAAACAAACCGACGTACTTGAATGGTGGTGCCAGGATTGAGAGGAGTGGCCTCAGCTTGCACAATGTCACCAACTTGTGCTCTCTTGAGATGGCTAATGCAGACTTCTATTCCGGTTACCTTTCGCCTCCCGGAGGCTAAGTAGGCTCCCATGCTGCCTAAATCCTCAGCTATGAGTGCTGACACCACACCATGCAATGTCCCAAATGGCTGTTCAATCCAATGATCAACCATCATTAATTTCACAATGATTTCCTTTTTCATTTTTTTGATGAATTTATTTGGGAAAAAAAAGAAGAAAACTAAGTCATGTACCTCGATGATTAATGGCAACGATGATTATTAGAATTAATTTATTTAGAGTTAATAACTAATTACCTGACAACACTTAGGTGTCACCTGTAATCAGCCACGCTTAAATCCAAATGGTCCAAGCGGATTACTTGGACCAAGAATGTTTGATGTTCCTGATCCTGGTGCCAGTGAGGTGGCGCGGTCGCGGTTGTGGTCGCGGTGGTGGGGATTTCGGCATAACCATCGGTGTCTTCCTCCTCTTATCAGACTAATAAAACTAACTCTAATCATTTGGGTTTAAGTAGTAATGTATGAGACACTAAACCTAGGAACTATTAGACGAAAGTCAATTGGTATGAATTAGTTAAACATTAACTGCTAATTGGACTACAAATGCTGCCTCCTTTTTAATATAGCCTAAAGAAAATGTCGTAGATGCCCAGATGGATTAAACTCTCGGGTGTTATTAATGAAAGTGAACTAGAATTAATTAGTTATTCAAACGTACTTGACTGCTATTTTTCTGTTTTATCATCCAAAAAAAAAGGGTTGTATCTTGTATATGCATAGATTGATTATTATCTATTTATATGAAATCTTTGAGCATGCAATCAATTGGTGCTTTTTTTGCAGAATATTCTTGATTGTTCTTTTGGGAAATGGAATCAGGAAAACAGATTCATCCTCACATAACTATAAGACATTCTGTTACCATATTATATATTGAGGGTTCCTATGTAGAGTTCAACATTTTGTTACCATATTATATTCTTGATGGTTCATCGATTTGGACTGCTTCTTTCCTAATGATTTTGTACAGGTCCAAAGTTCCAGTCAATGGTCAAGAATCAGTTTGTAGAGTTGATAAACAAGACAGAATTAGGTTTTCTGTTGCCAATTAGATGACTATATTAATCTAATTTGCATTTGTCTCCCACGGAATCTTGCTAAAGCAGCTAGTACTGTTAGATGATGTGAGTTTTTGAGAATTACATTGCATCCTGTTCTAATCGAAATCCTTCTACCATAGTTGAAAAACTTATACTCCCTCCGTCCCACTTTGATAGTCCTGTTTCTTTTTTCACACAGTTTAAGAAAAAATAGTTAATTTTGTTGGAAAAAGTAAATTTAGATTGCTATGTTCCTAAAATACCCTCACCTTAAATATGGTACAACTTTATAGGAACTTGAATTGATGGTAAAAAAAGAATCAACCTCATTAAATGGGGTAGGTTTATAGTAACAACTACTTACATTGAATAAGGGTATTTGAGGAAAATTAAAATACAACTACATTCTTCAATTGAAAAGTGGACTATAATTTGGGACAGATGAAAAAGGAACACAGGGCTGCACTTGAGCTTTAGTTGTTAAGATGTTCCCAATATAGCATTCTTCGAGACTGCACTTGCAGAGATGCATTCTATGGTTTCTCTTACTATTAGAATCAATTTGTTTATTGATTTTCATTTTAAATTTATCTTTAAAGGATTATGATCCTAAAATTTTAAATTTTTATTAATAAAAAATTCAAAAAAATAATTAAGTTAATCATAATGAAGAACTTATTCAAGAAGACTTCCAAATTTTAGTCTTTAAGAAGACGGGATTTGTGAAGTGGTGACTTCTTATTAGAGATATACAATACAATTATTTAGGTAACAAAATAAAAATCGATTAAAGATGTTTATAAATTTATAATATATATTACACCGATCAATATTATAAATTTATTTTTCTTAATGTGTAAAACACAGAAGAATTGAAGGGACAAGTATGAAAATGAAAACAAATAGACAGTTCGACTGAAAGAATCACAAAAAATAATAATAAGATAATAGGATAACATGCACAATGATAAATCATAAAAGCAAGGATAACAAAACCATTTAAAAAAAAAAAACAATTCTCCACTGCACTTGCTAAGCTAAGAAAAAAAAAAACGAGGTAAACAGGTAAAAGGCTCAATTTGCGCGTGGTGGACCAAATAAAAAATCCTTGAAGTAATATTGCAAACCCATTCTGTGCCGAAGGATCCATAAGCCGACAGCCTGATTTTTTTGGGCTCAATAAAGAAAAGGGTTGGACTTGGTTTCAAAACATTCAATCAAGAGTTAGGTATGTCAACTTTTTAGGGTACAATTATTTGTTAAATGAATAGGATTTAAAACTCGAAACCCAAGTATATAAAGTTCTGTGGTTAAAGTATAACAACTTATTAATTGGGGTATTGTTTAAATAATTTTAAACAATAGGTGATCAAAATGCAAATCATTCAATATGTTTTTTGTTCTCTAAGAGATTGCCCCCTTATAACTTGATTTACACTTTGGTTCCAAAATTTCAAAGTGGAATTCTTTAATCACTTAAGAAAAATTCATCTCACTTTAGTCTCAAGAGTATAAAGTCTATCCCAATTAAGTATAAAATCTATTACACTTTAACGATCAAAATATAGAAGAAGTAAAGAAGAGTTTATGCTTAAGGTTAGGGACTAAAATAGGACAAGTTTTACTTAAAGGGGAATAGATTTTATACTTTAGCTACTAAAATGTTCAGGAATCAAAACGAGAACTTAGGTATATTTTAGTTTATACTTTAGTTTAAGTCTAGCACTTTCTTCAATATATTAGCATTGAAGATTTAGTCATGGACATGCACAAGAAATTGGATGGATTTCAAAGTATTAACGCCAAGAAAACTTTGAATTTCGACCAAATCCGAGCTAAGAGTTAGCTTTGCGCAACCTTGGATAATTTGATAATAAATTGGCGTAGAGAAATCAAAATTGAGTGTGATTAACAGCACTTGACACTAGAAAATATATGCTTCCTATCAATACTTGAAAATCGAAGTTGACTGAAGATCCAACTCACTCTGTACAGCAGTATTGGGAATATCCTGAATGCTGACTTTTTGAGCCAATATGGGCGTACTTATGGTTCGAAATAACAACATTGTGTTCTACAGATTATTATTGTTATTATTATTTTCAGTCTAATTTCGAGCGGCACCATTTTTATAGTTTTTTGACATGTATAACTTTAGTTTATTCAGGCGCTGCTAATGCTGGAAATCATAAACAGGCAGCCCTGTTTTTGAGTTGGCAACTCAATGAGATTGTTATGTTCTGAATCGATTCTTAGTCTGAAAGCGGTATCTCACAAATTGATTTGATTGTTTTAGGTGAAGATTAATTAAAGAAAGTTCTAAGTAACTCCTTTATATCTCCATGGTTTTAACTTTTACGAATGAATTTCTAAAATATTTGTCTACTGAAATGTTAATAACTGGTTCATTAGCTTTACCCTCTACTCCGCTCAGCTTATTATTGGGTATGTTGATTGGCTAAACAAACTTCTTTCAAAATCTGCAAACTTTTAGTACGAATAGCCAAGTTGTTAAGCCAAATATTGACAATATTGTAGGTAGCATGCTAAACATCTTAGTAAGTATAGTAGTAGTGATACCAAAATGCACATCTTTCATTTAATTAGGTTCTATTTATTTTCGTCCGTTCTCAATGAAAGCAGGAAATCAAGTTTAAGAAAGAAAAAGAAATTGACAATCAAGAAAAAGGCAGAGGTAAATGATGGAAAATCAAGTTGAAGACTGAGATAGGAATCTTACACCATCGTTTTTCCCCCCTTCTATAGAGGTAACTTGGTTATGTTCTGTTGAAAATATGCTAAAGGTAACTTGTTATCGTGAAATCCCCTACCCAGTGCTTGAAAAGCAGAGTTAAAGAACATATGCTTGGAATCACCTTTTACGTACAAACTGAATATAGATTTCTTGTAAAGTCATTGATCCCTTACCTACTGACAAGATATACGGTCTTTGCATTAGCCACTTCTGCTTTATAAAAATGTGTAGAAAAACAGATGCAGATAAAAAGCCTCTCCTCCGTTTCTGGTTCTTGCTCTTTTATTGAGAAGCAAAGCTCTCTTAGATTAGATGGCTGACCCTGTTATCTCTTTTGTAATTGAGAGAACTGGCGATCTGCTTATTGAAAAAATTGTTTTCCTGAAAGGTGTTCGACGACAAGTTGAGAGACTCAAAAATGATCTGGTCCGGATGCGGTGTTTCCTGAAAGATGCAGATCAAAGGCAAGATGAAGAAGAGAGGATCCGAAACTGGGTTTCTGAAATCAGAGCTGCGGCCTACGATGCGGAGGATATCATAGAGATCTTTGCCAGCAAAGTTGAGTTCTTCACAAAGGACGAGGGACTTGTCACCAAATTGACGTATTATCCCTTGAAAATTGTGAAACTCTGCAAGATTGGTAAAGAGATTGAGTCCTTACAGATGAGGCTCAATGACATAGCTGCTAGCCGCGAAAAGTTTGGTATCAAAAATCTTGGAGAGGGAACGACTACGCATGGGGAAGAGCTTCAATGGATCCGGCGATCCTCTCCTTTCAGCGAGGAAAAGGATGTAGTGGGCCTCGGGGAGATAACAAAATCGCTGGTGGCAGAACTTTTGAAAGAGGACAGAAACCGCCGCGTCGTTTCAATCATTGGCATGGGAGGTGCTGGTAAGACAACTCTAGCCAAAAAAGTTTATAACCATGCTGATGTTAGGGAGAGATTCAACTGTCGTGCTTGGGTATGTGTCTCTTCAAGCTACGATTACAGAAAGATGCTGAGGGCAATCATAAAGCAACTGAATCCAATAACTAATGAGCTACTTGACATGTTGGAAAAGATGGAAGAGGAAGACTTGGAACGAAGGCTCTATCAAGATCTACAAGACAAATGTTATCTTGTGGTGCTTGATGATGTATGGGAGGAAGCATCGTGGGATTGTCTTGCCAGGAGGGCCTTTCCTGATGTTGGCACAGCAAGTAGAGTGCTACTTACAAGTCGCAATCGGGATGTTGCCCAACACGCTGATGCTTATAGACACCCGTATGAGTTGAAAACTTTGGGGCAGGAAGACAGCTGGCAGTTGTTTCTCAAAAAGGCCTTAGGCCATGGAGCTAATGCTGGGTGTCCTTCGGATTTGGAAGAAGTAGGCAGAGAGATTGCAAGGAGATGTGCCGGTCAACCACTGGCCATAACGGTTATAGGTGGCCTGCTACTAGGCAAGAATAAGTCGAAGACTGAATGGGAGAACGTTCTCAACAACTTTGGCGCATACCTATCAAGGAGCCAGAGTGAAGCAGGGAAAATTAGTGAAGCAGGGGCAATTCTGGAATTAAGTTATGCAGACCTCCCTGCCAATCTGAAATTTTGCTTTTTGTATTTGGGTTTGTTTCCCGAAGACTCCGTGATTTCTGTGCGCAAGTTGATCGGTCTGTGGGTTGCTGAGGGAATAATGCAGAAAAGAGATGCAAAAAATCTGGAGGAAACTGCAGCATATGAAGATGTGGAGCGACTTTGTAGCAGAAATATGGTCCAGGTGGCGGAAATGACGGTTGATAAGAGGATTAAAAGCTGCAGAGTCCATGATTTACTGCGAGAGCTTGCAATCAGAAAGGCAGAGGATGAAAATTTTTTTCAGATCAATGACACCAGAGATGATGAAATATCAGCCAAATCCAGGTACCTTGCTGTTCATAGTCTCCCTCAGGATAAAAATTATTTTGGGTCTTCGACCCCTCCTCTCCGGTCTCTGCTTTTTTTCAATATCCGGGAAAACATTAGTCTTATCTTCAAAAGTTTCAGAAAGCTTAGGATACTAGACTTTGAGAATGTTAGGATGTACTCTAATTTGCCAAAAGAAATTGGTGAGGTCAGGCTTCTAAGATACCTCAATTTAAGAGGCACATACATTCCAAGGCTCCCTCTTTCCGTCGGTTGCTTGCGAAACCTACAAACTCTTGACATACGGAGCTTTGATTGGGAAGTGAAAGTTTCAAATTTCATTTGGAAGCTTGAAAGTTTACGGCATCTATATGCGGATGAGATGGAATGTGATGTGCCTCTTAAGATTGAAGGATTGAGGAATCTCCAGACTCTGTCAGGCATACGCTTTGGGGACGTTATGCACAATAACATGATAACTTTGACAAGTCTTCAGAAACTGGGGATTGTAGTGACTGAAAGGTCAGAGACAGACAAACTCTGCATGCATTTATCAGAGGTTGGAAGCCTAAAGGCGCTACATCTTTGTTTTTATTGGGGAGGGCGGTGGCCACAATCTCTAGGTGGACTTTCTAAGCTCCATCATGTAACAGAGCTTAAGCTAGTCGGGCTGGATTTGAGAATGCTGCCTCCTGATTTCCCTCCAAATCTCTCTCGCTTGTCTTTGAAAGACACATGTCTCGAGGATGACCCAATGCCAGTACTGGAGAAGTTGGGAGAGCTGTCGTTCCTCAAAATGAACTTTGCATTTGAGGGACCACAGCATATGGTCATTTCTAGGCATGGGTTTCACCAATTGAAATTCCTTGAGCTCAATAGCCTATTTGATTTGGAGGAAATAAAGGTGGAGAAAGGAGCATTGCCACAGCTCCAGTGCCTGAGAATCAGGCGCTGCCGCAGATTAGCAAAGTTGCCGGAAGAGCTGAAGCACATATCTACTCTTGATACGCTTGAGCTTGTGGGGATGCCAAAAGATTTCATCAGTGGGCTTGATGCGGACCTGGTATCCAGTGTCCCTAACCTCAGAATATTTTGACTCGCAGAAGGGAAAGAAGTATTTGTATTTCGCGCATAGAATGGAAGGTATGTCGTGTAGTGATTAATAAAATTATTTCAAGTTTTTATCAAAATAGATAAATAAAAAGAATGTTTCCGTATTTGTTTTCCCCAATTCACAAGCTTTTTAAGTCCTTTGTTTTTTTTTTTTTTAATTATTTGAAATCTCACACTTCAATGCTTGCTTTGTTAATTGTCCCACTATTATTAAACAAGGAATGACTCTTTTGTTATTAATGATATTTTGGGCAACTAACAGTGCCTACACCTACATCTTATAGGATTTGTCTTTCTATAAATTTACATTGCATATATCATATTAATAAAAGTAGTAATTTAAAAAAAAAAACAGTTAAATGTCGAAATCAATAAAAATATCTAGAGTTATTTGGTTGATTCTAATTTTTCCAATGCTGTCCAAACCGAAAAAGAGAATAAGGAAATAAAAGGCATAGTGTAGATATACAATTTAAGCAAAGAGTAGATATTACCATAAAAAAAATATGCATCATCAAAGCAACAAACATGTATTTTATTATTTACACAGTTTTATTTATTTACATCATAAACATATTTTTTAATCACCTTTTTCTATCTCACATTATCACATTATAAAAGTGCTATAGTATTTTTTTTAAAAAAATTATCCTAAAAGTGCTATCCAAACACACTCAAATTGTTCAATTGAAATTCATCACACCAACCTATTCTACAAGGGCTGAAGTGCTGTCACATGTTAACACTTGGTATCTATGCATAGTGTATTTCCATAAGACATTAAGACTTTGCTTAACTAAATCAACAGCAGAAAAGCAACTTTGCTTAACTATGCAAAGTTGAAGTCAACAAATGCTCCCAAATTATTCACAGCTGAAATTATATCAAGGAACCTTTTAAGCAGTAGAAAGAAGTTAAAAAAAAAAAAACAGTTTTAAAGTATAAATTCTTGAAGGTAATGCCCTAAAAGATAGCAACATGCCATGAACAACACCAAAAAACCGGGGCTAAGGCATTTAAATTTAAATTTCTCTATCTTTGAAGTATTTAGGGAAAATCGTTCAAAACGTTCCTTATATTTTACAATATGACTTTAAAACCGGGGCTAAGGCATTTAAATTTATATTTCTCCATCTTTGAAGTATTTAACGTGAGAAATGCCATTATGCAACCAGGCCAATTCAGTACACAACCAAGCTAATTGTAAGGAATGCCATTACAAATTCCAATATGAGAAATGCCATTATCTAAGAATTGGCAGCGCAAGATTCTAAGCTTCAGTACACAACCAAGCTAATTCAAATCATGCATCAGTAGCATGCATAGCAGCTGATCGGCACAAAAACTCAGTTCAATTCTTCGGAAAAAAAAAAAAAGAAGAGTCAAACTTTTCTATTATGCAAGGCAAAAACATTCCTCTTGCTCAGATCTCATCGTCGGGTAGAGCAGTTTGGAACTTGGTTCAAAGTATGCACCTTCAGAATACAATCGCATGGTACATGGCACTAAAGGACTTAATATAAACCAGTAGCTTTTATTTACCAGATCTCATAAGTACAAACAAAAAAATTTCATCTCAATTGTACCTACCAAAATTCATATATTTAGGAATCAGATATTGTGAGTTTAAACTTTAAACCATGTATTTAGGAATTAAATATTGCAACTTTGTTAAAACAAAAAAAAAAAAAAAGAGAAACTTGGAATCTGGATGAAGTCAAGAAACTAGAAAGTAGATATGAAAACTTGATAAGAAGTAAAAGATGAGAAGAAAGTGAGTGAGGAGGCACTTAGTAACTAGTCTTTGGAATTAATAAGAACCTATTCTTTTTTTTTTTTCAATTTAATAGAAAAAAACAAAAAAAACATACTGGTTCAACAGTTCATTTTGATTCGAACGGTTCACATGGTTCTCATCGATTTTTAAATTCAATCAATCCAAAGTATGAATCAGATTGGAGTCCTGATCCGTTCGTAGTTCGACCGTTTGAATCGGCCGGTTCAACATGAATTTCAAAAGACTGCCAAAAGCCTTAATTCAAACCAGTAGCTTTTATCTACCAAATCTCGTAATGGCACTAAAACACTTAATTTAAACCATTAGCTTTTATCTACCAAATCTCGTAAACGACACAGCAGAGGGCAAACTATTAAAACAGATCCTGTCTGCAACTACAGTCGGGAAAAAATTCCGGGAAAACAAAATGGAGGGAGACCAAAAAGCATGCAGAAATACGAGTAGCAGGACAGTTTAGGACAATGGATTCGAGAACATTCATGATCAAAGTTACTATACAAGAAACAGCAACAGTTTCTCCATGCTAAGTCTTTTTAGTTACCACTTTGTCTGCAAAGCAGCAAGTGTTAGCATCAGCTTTGCTTACTTGACACTAGCCACAAAATGAATGCAGCAACCTCACTTCGTACACCATCCAATGAAACTACATGTTATCCCATTCAAGGAGCGCAATTTCATTTCCAATTCTTTCGACTTCAGTCAATACACGAACTTGTTTGGGCTCTTCTAATACCAGCTATCTGGTTTGGTAGACAAGCACCATCAACATTTAAAGTTAACCTGCCCATGAGAGGACACAAGTGAAAATTTTGATGTGCAGGGAAAGTGAGATATAATGAGGCATGTGATGAGTTACAATTGTTGTATCACCACCTTGCGATTCTCAGAATGTTCGTGGAATCAAATTGCTGGCTTCTGAAGATAAAATTATTCCTGGCAAGCTGAATGCTACTCCACAGGGTATAGACATGAAAGGTATTAGTTAAAGAAACCTTTACTCATCCTTAATATAGGAAAATCCCTTTGACGTGTTCTATGTTAAGCAACGTTTCCCCAAACTAGTTTTGAGCCCGGTTATTCCTATATGATATGCTCCGAAGTTTCAGTCTGAACGAGTGCGCATAGTGATTCTCATGTAGTTCAGGCATCCAAAACGCCCCTTTCATAGTGATTCTCATTGCCATTCCTTAGCAGCAACCAAACAGGTGGTAAGTCGTAGCATTATAAGGGTGAGCAAAAGAAATACGCGAAAACTCCACAGTAGCAGGGTCCTGTCCATAAATAGTCAAAAGGAATGCCAAAATTTCAAGAGTGGCTTGCTGGCAGGATCAGACGTAGGGGCGGGGAGAAGTTGTGGATAGTGCTGGTTACGATAGACAGATGAAGACTAGACATTACGCAGGCAGGGTGTTTTCTTTATAATGGAAAACATATAGAGGGGAAAGCAAAATTTCCCCAAAACCAGTTGTTTGCAAGAGAGAGAGTAGAATTCCAGAGTGAAATGTTGGTCTCCGGTGCTTTGGTATGATACAATCAGCTAGTATTACACAACACATCTAGTACAAACTTGTCAAACCATTGTAACTTCGACAAAAGTATGAAAAAATCAATTCTGAAACATTTTCAAAAGGGAAACTGGGTATCCATATGGGCAACCATCTAGCCACTAAGATTTAATGACTATCTAAATAAGATTAACACATAATTGAATATAGGCTTTTATCATAGATATAACCACGCATAGATTTCCAACCGTCAAACCCCCAGTTTATGTTGGTTCCATTTCTGACTGTAGAAAATAGGCGATACAAGACTTTCACAAAAGCCCTTTATATCCCTAAACGCATTTCCAATGCCAGTCACCAACATGTCCCTCTTAGTTTCTCCTGTCAGACTGTGCACAACAAGTTTGTGCAAACTCTGATGCACATGCAGAACAAGATCATCATCCCCCAATAGGCAAACAGGTAAAGAAAGACACGTATCGGAGTATTTGATAAACCCCACAACCATGGAGTGTGACGGTCTTAGTTTTAAAGAAAGACACGTATCGGAGTATTTATGAAGGGGAGTGTGACGGGCTCAGGAAAATTGCATATATTTATGTTTGAAGGGAATAAAGTTGACTAATAAAATTTGCTGTAATGCATGTGAAATAAAAAAATAATTATAAAAAAATAAAAAATGATGAGAAAATGTGTTTATAATATAAATAAAAAAAATTAATTATTTTTTTAAAATGTCGTAGATGCCCAAGTGGATTGAACTCGGGTGTTATTAATGAAAGTGAACTAGAATTAATTATTCAAACGTACCTTGATTGCTATTTGTCTATTCAATTTTTCTAACGAGTACTCGTTAACTGTAATGACCCTAGATATTCTCGTTAGATATTTCTGAGCAGAAATGCATCTGACATGCTTTCCTTTTCAGGTAGTTAGTTAGCATTTCCGTTAGTTAGTTAGTCAGCTAGCTGTCAAAGGCATGCAGGTATGCATGCTCATTCTGTTAAGAGGTTGGCTAGTTGCAGAAGGATCTAGAGGGAGCATATTGTATAAATATAGCCTAAAGGGGACGACAAGGGTATGTTATCAGATATAACAAATCAAGCTTCCTTCCTGATTGCACTATCCTTCCCTCTCTTCTCTCTCGCATTTCTCCTCCTCCCCTGCATTCTCTCTGTTTCACCCTTCTACCTTCTTAGCCTATTCAGATCATAACTAGTAGTATCATTACAAGTGGTATCAGAGCTTCCGGTCCTTGGACTAGGAAGCTTAGATTGACATATCACAATGGCGGATGGAACAAGGATGAAGACGATGGAGGAACAGCTCCGCAGGCAAGAAAGCAAGATTCAAGGAATTCTGGAATCCTTGGCAGCAGACAAGCAAAGCATGGAGGATAGGTTGGATGCAGTGAGTGTTGAGCTGGGCAATAAGCTAGATGCTTTCATGACAGCCATCTCGCAGCAGCTCTCCAGCCTGAACCGTGGAAATCAAGAGAAAGGCATATTAGGATCTCCAGAAGGAAGTCACTCCAGAAGTTCAGACCTGGGGAGTAGAGAACAAGGAGAAAGGAATGCTAGGAGTGCCTTCTTCGCTAGCACGCCTAAATTGGAAATTCCAGCATTTAGGGGAGACAATCCTAGGGAATGGATCAGGAAACTGCAGAAATATTGCCAGCTTCTGCACATTCCCAAGGAGCAATGGATGGAGTTGGCAGAGTTCCACTTGGAGGAGAAAGCAGCAGTGTGGTATCAAGGATTC